AAATAACATCACTTACATAATATAAATGGGAATTGCTTAGTTATAAATCTAATGTGCATAAGCTGCCTCTGATGCATGCAGTTTGTCTAACATTCAAAAAAACCCATTTCACATGTCACAGTTTACCCACTGCTGCATTATCTCATTAACTATCTCCTCCAAAAACAGACTGGGAAAGCAAATCCTACTGAAAATCCACAGATTTAGGGCACTTACAAGGGTCAGATAGCATGCCCCCGAACTTGAGCTTTTGTATTAACAGATGCACAGCATCCCCGGCATTTTTTTGGTCACACTGAACTGGAAAAATACAGCATCGTAACCTCTTCCCAAATGGGCTGACAGGTTCAGGGTGCTGAGGTGAAGTCCCTTGACAAGTTGGACACAGCTTGAGATGTTCAAGTCCTTCTGCAGGTTCATGCAGGTTCATGAAGCCAGTGCTGCAACAAGCAGCACCCAGGTTTGCCTGGTGCATCCCCCAAGCCCCTCAGCATCCTGCTGTTTAGCCCTGCATTTCCAAAAAGGTCCCTGACATACTGAGTGAAGAGAGAGCCTACAAGGAAACAAGGAACATTAGCAAAATGTGAGCATGTGGCATAAGCCCAGGCAGGAGCTACAAGGGAGCTGTGTTTCTGCCCAGGACTCTGGCATCCCACAAAGGGGTGCAAAAGCATTCCATGTTTTAGCACTCAGACGTAATTTCTACTGTAAATCCAGCCCTGGCAGCACACCAGGAAGAGCTGAGTGCCCCAAGTGAAGGACCAGGCAATCCAGGGCAGCTTTCCCAGTGCCATCTCATAGTCCCTGTCTGTGAGGAGGGTGGATGTGCAGCCAGGTCGGATAGGGGGGCTGACTCCCGGCTGGCACTGGGGTGTAACAAGGGGCACAAGCAACAAAGCAAGAGAGAACAAGCCCTGGCAGGATGTATTTAATAAGCCCAAACCCAGAAAAACCGACTGTTAACTCACAGTGCCTGAAAAAACAAGAGACAACCAGCCACAAAGGAACCAAAGGCATGCAAGGATGCCTTCCTCTAAACAGAGACATATATCCTGCTGCTGAGACAAGGGATTTCTCAATGAGTAGGGAAAAAGAAAATAGGGAAAAAAAAAAAAAAAAAAAAAGCTTGGAGATTGCAGACACCCAGCCTCCAGCTGGACTGAACACCACCCAGTCTACATCTAATTTCTATTTTAAATAAGCTACAATGCTACTACACAAAGATAGATCATTCAGACATGAACGTAAGCAGAGAGAAGAGATCTCTATGCTGCTTCACAGTCAAATACCATTTTGTGTGATCTGTACCAAAAATAAATATGCCACTTTGCCAGACACTGGAGTCTCCATCTCCTAGCAACACCCCCCCACCCAGCCTTTTCCACGAGACCCTTCAGCTCCTGCCTGCAAGCACAGCTCCCTTCCCCAGTGTCTGCAAATGAGACATCCGTTGTATAAATACATGTACATAAACATATACATTTAAAAGCCAGAGGGAAATTAAGTAAATATCCTCAAGCCTGAGCCCCAGCACTACTTTCCAGGAGCATCACAGGCTCTGCAGGGCAATTGGGGATAGAGGGCACTCACCCACCTGGTGACGTCTGCTGCCAAGCAAAGGGCTTTCTATAACTCTCCTGAAAACCTTAAGCCCCCAAAATATATCCTGTAAATTAAAAATCTGATTAATATTAATTTGATGTTTCTAGTGAACAGCTTCTATGTGTATAACAGGCGGTGGAAACACAACAGATCAGTTTGCTCTGGGATTTAGTTACTAACTTTTAGGAAACAAGTAGGATGGCAAAACAGTGCATCTCCATACAGCAGCTCCCGTTAAACATTTTAGTTTAACCATTAAACAAACACCATTCAGGTTCACACCTATTTGTGTGGTGCTTCATTCAGGCAGAGTCAGGGCTTGCCAGGACTGGAAGGGGAGATCAAACAAACCCCATGTGCTTTTGTGAGCAAAGAAAGACAGAGGAGAGCTGCCCAGAGCTTCCAAGGTAAAGACTTGCATGGGCTGACAATTTTGCAGCTGTCTGAGGAAGACAGAGCTTTCTCAGGCTTTCCAGGAGATAGTATTACTACTATATTATCTAAAGTTTACTGTTTGTAAATACTGTTTCTATTATGCCTTCACATAATTCATGTCTGTTGTTCTGGTTGAACAGATACAGTTTTATTAAACTACATATGGTTTTGTATTACAGTAATCTTCCTGTTCTACCCCGAGCTTCTTATTTTAGTTACTTATGTTAGTGGATTTGTGGAATTAAGTTGCCATTTTATTATTTATGATAGCACAGTTGCATAGTCTTGTTATTATTTTATCAGGTATCTTTTGTTTACACACACTGTTCCAACTTCCCAAATATTACCTTTATTACCTTGGAGCATGGATTGCATTTGTAACTGCCTTCTGCTACTTCATGAAGCTGAATAAGAAACAAACAGCTTCAAATTAACACTATTAAAATGTGGCAGGACTACTTTTCAGATATGCTAGACCAATTTCAGTATTCAACCATGCTATTTATTTGGGATGAGCATGCATTCTTTTTTTAATGTGAACTATTCACGGGGCCCAAAGTTTATGTCTTACTTAGGAGAGGAGGGAGAACACCCTGCTTTCATTAGATCTTTTGGACTTCTGGCTGAAAATGTCCATTGAGTGATTGCTTGAAAGCGAAATAGATCTGAGCTTCTACACAAACAACAGACCCATTTCTCCTGTCTGAGCTGAAGAGAAGCTCCTGCTTTGCCTGAGCTCTGCTCTGAAGACAGAGGTCCCAGGACAGGATTCACTGGGGTTCCATCACCGAGGCAAGAGGTAGCTGAGGACACCAGACTGCAAAGCAGGGAGATCTTCACCAGACTGCAAAGCAGGGAGATCTTCACCTTATGTTGAACACACCTGCACCAGCTGCTCACTCCTGTACATCATGGCAAGGGCTTTCTTTTTTTGGGGTTGCAGTTGTCTGCAGAGTAAAAGCAGAAAGATTCATCATGGAAAAGATCACTAAAGAGGTGTTCACTTCAGGACAGGATTTTCTTCCCCTCAAAGTACATTTCTAATGAGAAATTCCAGCAAATAGTAGCCCACTTGGAGCAGCTGTGTTATTATTTCATACACAACATTACCCTACCAGGCTGTCCCAGGGTTGAAATACTAAGGAATGGATGACACTATCATTAGGATGAGCCGCTAGCTCATGAGAAACAGCAGCTGCCAAGATATGAGATGGTTTCAGCTGGCTGCACTGACTGCTGATGTTATTGATGTTTCCCTCCCCGTGCATCTGTTTTGCTCCTTTGCATTAACACAGCTACTGATCCACAAGAAGGCTCATGAGGCTGCTTTGCCAAGTGGGAACTGCTCATGCACCATCACACCCAATACACTGCCCAGCAGCTGCCATCAGTGGGAGGTATCACCATCACCCCAAATTCAGCCCTTCCCAGCACTCAGGAATTTACTTACACACAGTGGGTCTCCCCTTCTCCCAGTCTGCGGTCCAGAGTGAAGGGGAGCAAGGACACATCCGTAAGTGCCATCTCCCTTCCTCAGCATGCAGGACCCAGGATATGGCACCAACTAACTGGGCAGGTCCTGATACCCGCTACCCACCCCACAGTGACCCTTCTCTTCTACCTGACACTTCTTTTCTGGCCCTTCAGTCCACTTCCCAATCATTCCAAAACAAAACATCCCCCCTCCCTCCCTACTCCTCCGCCTGCCCATGTTTCTCCACTACCATCTGTCCCTCATACTCACACACCTTGTTACCCAGCCCAAGGTACAGCTGAGCCTCGGAGGGTGCATGCAAGGCCATGAGTCCTACTACAAGCATCCCTCCTGTGGGAATGTGTTCTTTGGGGCAAGGCAACTTCCTTGGCTGATGCCTCTCCAAGTACAGTGTCACCAAGAAGAGGAATCAACCCAAGGAAGGAGCATCAAAAGTAGGGTGTTCCCAAAAGACAGTGTCACCCTCTGATGATTGCATCCCCAGATACGTGTGACATCCCTCTCACAGCCAGGGGACGATGCACCCTGAGGACAGTGTGCCCCTCAGGTGGCTATCACTCCAAGAAGAGTGTCACTCTCAGGCACATGCTTTTCAAGGAGGATACGACCTCCAAGCAAGTGCACCCCAGAGATGGCACACTATAGGGAAGGTTCCACCCAAGCAGAGTCCACTGCAAGCAGGATGTATTCCAAGGGCTGTCACTCTTAGGCAGCTGCACCCCTCCAGGCAGGTGTCACTCCAAGGAGGGTGCTACCAGTAGCCCTCTGACACGTGCCATCCCAAGCCTAGCACACCACAAGGAGGGCACACCTAAAGGAGGGTGCACTCCAAGAACTATGTCCCCATCAGGCAGGAGTACCCCCGAGGAGGGTGTAACCTAAGGATGGTATCACCCCAAGGAGGATGTCTCTCCAGGTAGGTGTGTGTCAGGGAGGGTTTATCCCAAGGACAGTGTCACCCAAGGAGGATGTCACGCCCAGGCAGGTGCACCCCAAACCGGATGCACCCCAAGGAGCACTGAAACCCCACAGGGTGCACCAGAAGATGGGCACGCACCGAGGGTGTCATCTCTGGCTGATGCTGCTCTGAAGAGATGTCACCCCAGGCAGGTGCACAGCACATAGGATGTATCCCAAGGACCACGTCACCTGAGGAAGGTGACACTTCCCGGCAGATGTTGCTCTAAATGGTAGTTAACCCAGGCAGGTGTGCGGCACGGAGGGTGCACTCCGAGGTACAGTGCCGCTCGAGGAGGATATCACCCGCAGGCAGATGCCGCCCTAAAGGGGTGTCACCGCCGGCAGGTGCAGCCGGAGCCAAAGACCTCTCCCCGTTCCCGCTCGCCTTCCCACCTGTCCCGGGCGGCGGGCGCGCCCCTCCCCGCCCCCGCCCCCGCGCTCCGGGCCGTGCCCGGCGCTCCCCGCCCGCCGCTCCCGCCGCTCCCGCCCGCCGAGCCGCGCCGGTCCGCCCTGTGCATTGTGGTCCGGCGGCGGGGGGCGAACATGGCCGAGAAGCAGAAGCACGATGGGCGGGTGAAGATCGGCCACTACGTGCTGGGGGACACGCTGGGGGTCGGCACCTTCGGCAAAGTCAAGAGCTGAGTACCGCGGCCGCGGGCGGGGTCCCCTCGCCGCCGCCTCCCGCCTCCTTCCTCCCCGCTCCCGCGGCCTCCGAGCCCGCATCCCCTGCCCTCCCTTCCCCTCGGCGGCTCCCCCGGCGCGCCGGGGCCGCGCAGCATCCCCGGGGGGCGGCGGGGGGCGAGCGGCTGGCGGAGCCTCCGCGAGGGGCACGGGCTGGGAGGCGGCCGCTTCCCGGGGTGGGCATGACGGGGGTGGTGGGAGGTGCAGCCCTTGCCCCTCGGTAGCGCGGGGTGTCACAGCCGCGGGTGCTGCGGGCACGACCCACCAAAACTTTGCTCCCGCGCTGGGAGGGAGGTGATGGGAAGGCTGGACCGCACACCGGGCACTGCCGGCATCCTGCCCCTCCGACCCGGGGCCGCGGTCCCCGCTGCACCTTCCCTTTCCAGGGGACGGCAGGTGCTTCGGGTGGGCGTGAGGAGTGGGGATCGAAAGGGGTTTGTGCTGCCGCCGCTCCGAGCATCGCCCCAGGGAGAGAGCGGCAGCCTGGGAGCGCCTCCGGCAGCAGGCGGGGATGGAGGGGTCGGGTCGGGCGTGGATGACAGAGGTCGAGTTGTTCAGCCTGGAGAAGAGAAGGCTCTAGGAAATGTTAGAGCACCCTTCAGTGCCTAAAGGGATGCAAGAGAGCTGGAGAGGGCCTTCTGACAGGGTATGCAGTGACGGGACAAGGGGGACTGGCTTTGCACTGACAGAGGGCAGAATTAGATGGGATATTGGGAAGGAATTCTTGACTGTGAAGGCGGTAAGGCACTGGCACAAGTTGCCCAGAGAAATTGTGGATGCCCCATCCCTGGAGGTGTCCAAGGCCAGGCTGGATAGAGCCTTGAGCAACCTGGTCTAGTGGAAGGTGTCCCTGCACAGGCAGGGGTGTTGGTTTGAGATGATCTTTATGGTCCCTTCCAACCCAGACCATTCCAGGATGGTAGGATGGAGGGATCATGTTGGGTTGAGGCTCCACACAAGAATTCTTTGGTCAGTCATATCAGAGCAGCCAACTCACATTCTGAAGGTACCAGTTTTGCTTTATCTGACTGTAAGGTTTGTGAATATTCATATTTCTTTTTCCTGTGAGTCCTGCCATTACATTCAAATTTTATTTTTTAATCAAGATATCAAAAAAACCAAACCAAAACAAAAGAACAGCAAAATTCACTAAGCAATAATGGATAGCTGTCTTTCCCAGTAGGAAATGGGTTTAGCTTGAGCCAAGGTAGCAGCTGCCCCACTTGGTGTCCCCCACCCTGTTGGGATGTGGCTGGGTAAAGGGGTGATGTGCCTGCACTCGGAGACTGGAGTTTTAAAATAAACCGAAACTGACAGCAGAGGAAAGAAACCACCACAACCACTGGAGCTAAATCCACCTGTGACCATTAATCAGGGCCCTAAAAATATATTGCTCTGTTTAATCCCAAACCAAAAATTTACTGATTAAAGAATTACCGGAATAAATACTTCTAACAGTAAGGACCATTTAAATCTATACTAGCAGACCTCAAAAATTGCTCCAAAGGCAGACCAGTTTAAGCCCACCAACAAGACTTTTTGTCCTTAACTAGCACAAATATCCCTCACCCCACCTGTGACTTGACTTTGTTAAAAACTGGCAGTTTCCAAAGAAACATTTCAAATAATGTAAAAGAGATTTCTTAGCTCAAAATCCTTTATAGATGAGTAGTATCCTTTAAATTTTTTTTCCTTAATGTTTTGCCTACAACGGACAGGTGAAGTTTGTACTTGAGATTGGAAACTGAGATGAAGAAATGAAATGTCCTAATTATACAAAATTCTAGCGTTTTAATTTAAATGAGCTTTAGAAAAACTTATGTTCACATGAGAAAAGTAAAGAGATTTTTGCCTGATTGATTCAAGTGTTGTGTGTGTTGTGTATAATAATTGCTTTTTCAGAAAGAAGGCAGGTGCCATCAGTGACATTTCCTGTTGCTGATGTGTTTTCTTCAAACTCTGCCTTGCACAAGCTTTTGTTTGAGGCACTTTTTCCTGCCTTACTCCTCAAGGTTAATGAATCATAATTTACTACTTTTAAGGATTACTGTTATTAAGGAAATTTTAAAAATTACAATTTTTTTAGGTAGGGTTTAGTGACATTGGCTACTAACCAGAACTTGAATTTGTGGGTGAAGCTGAAGTGACTTTGAGCCATCAGAAACCAGAGATGTGACAGCAAAGGTTCCTGCCCCCTGTTGGGATGTTTCTTCTGGCTCAGCACTTTCTGGGTCATCAGGAAACTGATCCTCCTAAAAACTACCTGAACACGGCAAGAAACTATTTGGTTTAAGCCCATTCAGTTTCTTGATCTCATTTACAGAAAGTCCACCCAAGTCATGGAAGGGAGTAAATAGGTTGGCAGATGAGAGCAAGATTTTGGTGATAATACTGACATTCTAGCTGGAAATGGTGATGAGGATACAGCATCTTTTAGAAGAGAGGAATATGTCAGGAGCTGATGTGGTGAATGGATAGGAGGTCTCGTGCCAAGGATCAACATAATTACATAGGATTTTACCAAGTATAGTTATTTTCCCTGTCCTCCAGGCCAAAGGTAAGATTAATTTGCAGAAATAGAACTGTGGAGAAGATCCTGGATGTTGAATTTAGCAAAGCATTGAAGGAAGGAGGTGGCGTCTCCTCCACTGGGGATTGGTGAGAACAGATTAGACAACCTATGCTTGTCATGAGTACATTCCACCCTGTGGGTCCCCAGGAACTCTCCCTGACCACAGCCATCACACAATGAGGTTCACAATGGATGCAGCTTGGAGAGAGCTTCAGTCAAAATCCAGTGAAGTAACTCAAATATTTTTCCATGTGATGCCATGCACGACATTCCCAGGGGCCTTGGTGGTTTCTTACCCACACTTATTTACCACCGAGGTGACCAGTTTGTGGTCCCTCAAGGACTGGCAGTGCTTGGGTTATGTTTATGTCGTTATGATGACACCTCCATGGCCTTCAGTTGGGATCAGATCCCGTTTTCCCAGGCACTGTAGCGTTGCTGCTGAAGGACAAACCTTGTGTCAGAGGGGTGATAAACTAAAGGAGACTGAGCAGATAAAGGAAAGGGAGAGGAAGGGTGATATAACATATGAGCAAGTGGCACTGGGGCAGAATTAATACAGCTTTGCTAAATATATGATTTGGATGGATTTCGTTTTTAACTTTGGGTTGAGATAAGAGCCAGCATAGGTGATAGGAAAGAAGTTTTCTCTCTCCTTCATAAACTTTTACATTATCCTGAAGCATTTGCAAAAGTTAAAAAACGTGCTGTAAAGAAACATGCTGTCAAGGGTTTTTAATTGTTATATATGCTTGTGGTACTATAATCACTATTCCTCCTTGGTTTTTCTTCTATGAAAATAAGTAAATGAGAAGAGTCTTTTCTCCAAACTAATTCTATCTCTTCCCTTTGTAAGAGCATCTGATGCTGAAGTGTTCTTGTCACACATGTGAGCAGATGGGGTAGCAGAAAAGGACACTCACACTTTGTCCTGTTTGGTGCTGTATTTTGGAGTTTAGGGTCAGTATTGCCACCTGACCCTTATGGCTGTTTGGTTTTTTTTGCTGCTCCTCATTTCAGTGTTGAATCCATCTCCCCTGCTCACCCCAGCAGAGTCCTAGTTGCTAGTTCTAAGCTCTGGTGGAGCTTACCTGAGTCCCTGTCACTAAAAGACAAGACATGCTCAATCCCCTCTCTAATGCTGCTGCTCAGCCCTCCCTCCTCCCACTGGGCTCTTAATCCAGGGAGGGAGGGAGGAGGCTTTTTCACCACCAGCCAAGGCCACCCTTGCTCACCCTTGGAGTGAGAAGACAAACCCAGAGGAGCTGCACAGCCATCCTCTTCCATGCCTGTGGGGAACATGGGACCTGCCACTGCTGGGTGATCTTGAGGCCAGATCATCCCACCAGTGTGCTCCAGTGTATAGAGTCAGACAGTGACTTTGTGAGCAGAGAGAAGATTGTCCTTACTACCCGTGTCAAAATTCTAGCAACTACAGGCTGCAACCAGAGAGACCTCAAAGGCTTAAAGTCTCCTACCACATAGGAAACTGTGTTCTCTCTTTGTCTCTCTCTCTTGGTGTTCAAGGAGGCTTAACAAGTCACTGGGGACAGAAACAATAATATCTCTGTATCTGATGCTTACTGTAAGCAAAAGATGGATTACAAAATAGACTGTTTATTTTTAATTATTAATGTGTTTGTGCTAGCAAACCTTCGTGGAGTTACACATTGTGTGTCACGGATGGAAAGGGGATGAACTATTTGGCAATAGTATTAAAAACAGTAATTATTCATTCCAGGCATGGGAATTTTTTTCCCCTCAAGTGTATAATAAAATTTTTTCAAAGCATATGCTGAAGTAAGGCCAGAAAGGGTTGTCCTGAAAGAAAGGGTGGCAGAAATCAAGGTTTTCGTCCTTGTTCAGTGATAAACCTCTTTGCTTTGCTGTTCTTCAGTTTTCCAACTTATGGCTTAGTGTGTTAAAATTCTTTAATGGAGCTGAATTAATCAGGGGCAGCTTTCAAAGTATTTTTTTTTTTTTTTTTGTGCTCCCAGGAAAGAAAGAGCTATAATTGACCTAATGAAATACTGCTAGGGAAGGACTTTATCTCGAAGATGTCGTGCTGAAGTTGTCTTGCACCTTTCTGTCATGCTTCCCCAGCCTCCTCAGTGTAACATATACTGTGCATATACCCTGACAACCTTGGCAAAGAGAGATCAGTGCCCTTTATAAGACTACTCTTGGCACAACTTTCATAGAACTGCTTGCAGGGAATGAAGAGGCTGTATCCCAGCCCTCCTGCAAGCTCCCATGAGCATAGTTTTGTACCCCTTGCACATGTGCTGTTGTGTGAACCCTTGCTCCAGCAGAGCCTCCCTGCCATGGGGACAACCCCAGCACTGCCCTGCTCTCTTCTCTCTACGGATACACCAGGGAAAAGGCCTCCTTGGACTATTTACAGCCCTCTCCTTGCACTGCACAAGAGGAATTATCTGCCTCCTCCAGCCCTCAGCTAATCCCTAAATTGCATCTATACTGCAAAGCTGAGTTTATTTTCATTTCATCTAGTAGTTTTAAGTATTACGAGGAAAAAAATGGACATGCAAAGTGGTGCTTTAATTTTCAAGGGCAGTAAAGTGTTTTATTTTTAGGATGCTCTTACTGAGGAAAGAATCTCTGGCAGGTCTTATCTGGTGGCTAATAATAGTGACCTGGTGTGCCCTGAGCAGTGCCGGCACTGCTGCCCTGCCCTTCTCACACCGTTTGCTTCTGATCAGCTCATTAGAACCTCCAAAATTACAGGCTCTAATAATGTAATAACAAGGTTTGCTCATGCTAATTAACTCCTTGAGCTCTATGTTATTACTGGAAAGGTAACGTTCATAATTAGAGAGCACAAATATTTACTGTAAGCAGGTTTTCTGTGCAGCCTTTAGGAAACCATCCATATGTCACCATTTGAATATCACATTAGAAAATACTGAGAATGGGTAGCTCATGGACAAAGAACCTTTTTCAGATATAAACATCCAATTGACAGTTTTCAAGCAGTTTCTGCCCTTAACTTCAATATAAGTCTTGCTTCCTAGGGGCTTTTTATTTTTTTGTGTAGTCTGTTTATTGATAACAAATGGATCACATGCTGAATTCATTTCACACTATTAAGTACAATTCCCCCAATGACAGTGGTACTGCTCCCAGTTTGTGGTTATGGTTTGTCCCTGAGCACAGGAGATAAGTATCAGCATCTCAGTGAACTAAGTGCATTTTATAAAACCCCATATTGAAGTTTGAATCTTTCCTAAAAGCAGAATTTGCTCCTGCAGTCCAGCAGCGTTCCTGCAGCTTGTCATCAAACCAAGGAGCACGCTTGAGGAAGTATAAATAGAAATTCATTTTAGTAATGCAAATCCTGCAGTCCTATTTTGGGCAGGGAAAATCCCTATATAATTTTTTTAAAAAGAAGTATGATGGTCTAGTTTTAAGACCGGGTTTATGAGGGATTTAGTCAACCAGTGTGTTACAGTGGAGATTCTCCTCTGCCTTTTAAATATATCTGTTTCTGATTAATTTAGCTTTTACATGCTATAAATCCTTGCAAATTAGCTCGGGGTATGACCTCCTCCAGTAACTCACTCTGTTTTATTTACTGGAGTGTTTTTGGCAGATAAGTCCCCTCTGTTCTGTATTTTATGACTCCACTGGGACAACAATGAAGTGAAGAGACAAAACAAAATTTTAAAATATTTCACGCCCTCATCTTTTGCCTTTTTCCCTTCAGGAGTGGCTCTTTGCTTATAAATCACAGTGTGCTAAACTGCTGGCATGACTCTTGCTTCACTGTTTGGTGACTTTGCAATGCTCTCTTTCTAATAGTTGGTGAACACCAGCTGACAGGGCACAAAGTAGCAGTAAAAATACTGAACAGACAGAAAATCCGCAGCCTGGATGTGGTTGGAAAGATCAAACGAGAAATTCAAAACCTTAAACTCTTCCGGCACCCTCACATTATCAAACTGTAAGTACCCTTTCAGTCTAGTTCTCTGTCTACAAAGGCCTCTTCAGTTGACTTCATTTCAGGAGGTGGCTTAGAATAGTAAAAAATGTACTTTATCAAGTTTTTGCATGTTGGAATATGCACTGGCACAGACTGCCCAGAGAAGCTGTGGCTGCCCCATCCCTGGAAGTGTTCAAGGCCAGGTTGGATGGTGTTTTAAATAACCTGGTCTGGTGGAAGGTGTCCCTGCCCATGGCAGGGGATTTGAAACTAGATGGTCTTTAATGTTCCTTCCAACCCAAACCATTCTATGATTCCATGAATTGCAGCATGGTCAGGCTCACAGAGTGAAGCCTTGGCCTCCAGTCAATAGGATTTATGTTTTAATGGACTGATTATCCAGAGCTTAAAAGAACATTTTTAAAAAATTTATTATTCAGACATAAGTTTTCAAAGTCGTCACTTTGATCAACCTGAGTTTAAGCTGTAAATCAGCACCTGCACCCCAGCTCTGGGATTCCTTCTCAATCCCCAGTTTGTGCAGCCAGTCCACATTAATGAGGCACTTGATAATATCTTTGGCATTTCTATAAAAGAAAGCTGTTGAATGGTAACTCTAAGGATAAGTTGACATTTAGGTCAGCCTTAAAACTGGCATGAGGTACAGCAAATACCTGGGACTTAGAGGCAAGGGAAAACAAATTCTCCCTACAGTTAAATAACTAACCATGCAGCAACTGTTGACTTTAGAGTAACTTCACAGTTCCATGGATTTACTGGAGAACAGATTGGTATTATTTCATGAGAAAGCCAGCAAGACTCCTCAGCTGTGTGTCCAGCATCCTGCAAGTTAAGCCCTGTTCACACATTTGTCAAAGTATTAAAACCTAAAAATTAAACCCAGTTTGGCAATTTCAGTATCCTGTGGTACACATTGCAATCGTGGAATACAGTGATAAAGAAAAGAGGTGAGGAGGAGGCTGTGGTCTTTCAATAACTTAAAATGCATATAAAAGAGATATTTGGGCAATTAACAATAACTTAGATGTCTGGGCCCAAAGCTCTCTAGAAAAGTGAGATTGATGCTATTGATATTTGTGGAACTGTCACATGTTCCCTTGATGACCTCTGAAAGTTGTTTGAAATCAGTTTGTTTCAAATTACAACCCAGCTGTAAAAATGCATGAAATTCATTTATGGGGAAAAGAAAAAAGTCAACAATAAAACAGTGAATCTGAAAGAAAAGAGAGGGAGGTCTCAGCTGGTGCTGCTATGAATTCCTGGGGCTGCATTGACCTCAGCTGATCAGTGGCAGTTTATTCCAGCTGGGACACTGAAATGCCCTTGCAGAGCTCAGGGATCATTTTGAATGAAAATGGAGAATCAATTTGCAAGTCAAAGGTGACACTTGGGGTTTTTTTCCCCCATTCTAGAATATAGAGGGATTTACAATTGAAAAATAACTTTTTTGGGGTCTCATCTTTGTTTCTGTACCTGTCCAAAAGAGGCTGCCTAGAGTTCTTCTTTGTCCTTGATATGAGGGAAACCAGATGTACCCTCTTGCTGCCCCCAGCTAACCAAGCTTTCATTTCTAAAGCTGTTGATGCAAATCTTACCCAAAATGGAAATTTGAAAGTCAGAACAGTCCTAAATGTGGTAAGATTGCCTAGCAGAGATTTCAGAGGATTATTAAAAAGGTTGAAGGAAAATCATAGGTTGTTTAAAAGAGGTCCTTTCACGGACAAGTGAAAGATTATAGCTGAAAGAAATAAGAAATGGCTTTTCAGAAAGAGAAGGCAATTAGAAATGCAAGATCCAAATAAATGCTTATTCCAAGCATTGGTGTAAAATTAATAATCTGTTTAGAAGCCTTTCCCTGTTTTTAATTATATGTTTTTTCTAAATCCACTTGTGTTTTTGAAGGTACCAGGTCATCAGCACACCAACAGACTTCTTCATGGTCATGGAATATGTATCTGGTGGGGAATTATTTGATTACATCTGTAAGCACGGACGTGTAAGTGCCAGTACCATGTCAGCCCAAACACTTGTGTGGGAAGAGGATGATGTTTAGAAGCAAAACTACTGCTAAGGGGAACACAGCTTAGGTTAAGGCCCAAAATAGAAGTTGCTTCACAGCAATCCCGTCTGGAGCGTCTCGTACCCGGCTCGCGCTTAAAGTTGTGTGTGATTTTTTGCAACGTTGTCTGGTGTATTTCCATACTCAAACCAAAATATCCAAGGTAACGTGTTGCTTAGTGAAAATATTTGGAAAACTTGCTTATTTTTGTAAATTTTAGCTATGGGTTGCCTGTCAAAACCCCCATGGTTCAGCAGCAAATTTAAGGCATTGGAGAGGAAGACCACTCAGTGTGGTCTCCACCCCAGTCATTCATCTCTCCCAGAGCCCCCCTTGGCTCCATGTCAGGTTCTCTGAAGACTTTTTAAGTTATCTGAACAACATTTTCAAATGCCAGTAATCTGACTGGGTATAAATCACCCAAAGTGTAGGTTGAGGCCATGAACTGCGATATTATGGTTACAGAGAAAATCACTGGTGTCTGCTCCATGGACATCTTTGTAGGCAGGGAGCAGTTGCAGGGCAAGGAGAGAAAAATGGGCTGAAATGGACATCCAGAATAAGGCTTCAGGTGAAGGATCAGCCCATCACACATTTCCTCTCTGTACTACAAAATCAATACATATGCAGTGCAGTGGTTGATGGAGCTGACTCTACTTACTTTTGTATGTACAGTTCTGATTTCTTGCACATTTTACAAACCTAGATCTTTTCAGTTACTAATTTGGATCCTTTCTGAACTTTTCTGTTCAGAAACTCAATTTTTCATGAAGGGAGTCTTTCAGAATTCATCAGTAAAAATAATCAGTCATTTTAAATATAATTTCTCTAATATAGCTTGTACAACTTCATAGCTTATCTAGCTACATAGCTAACTAAAACCATCATAGTATTTCACCTTCAGCTCTTGTTTCCAAAGCCATCTATCCATGAGGAATTGCTCCCAGCAACATCCTCTGTGGTGCTTTGTCCAGTCTGGATCTGCAGGCCATTGTCTAATAGGTGCCACCTTTAAGTTCTTCCTGATAGCTTACCTAAATTGAAGTTTCACATTTCATCTCTGAGCTGTGTCTTTTACAAACACTAATACACCATAAAACACAAGGGTGAGAAATCTGCTTTATTTGCTGCTTCTGGTCGCAGGCACGTTGTCATTTTCTCTCTGCACCCTGGAACGTTTTGGCTCCTTGCTAAGTCAAACCTTCCCCTGCCAGCTCTGCAGGCAGACCAGCTTTCAGGGCTGTTTCCCTTTGCGCCCGCAGGTTGAAGAGGCAGAAGCTCGACGCCTTTTCCAGCAGATTCTCTCGGCGGTGGATTACTGCCACAGACACATGGTTGTCCACCGAGACCTGAAACCAGAGAATGTGCTGCTGGACGCACACATGAATGCAAAGATAGCTGATTTTGGTATGTGACCCCAGCAGCATTCCAGGAGCGCAGCCAGCCCCGCGGTGCTTGCTGGAGCGTGTCGGTGTAGCGCTCCTTACAAAACCCAGAGCCTGCTTCCCTAACCACCACCAGTTGCTCTACCTGAAAAGCCCACAGTTATAAACACTGGCCTTTTTGCAAAAGCAGGGATTACTTATTGTAGGCTGCTTCTGTACTGGCACGCAGAGCGGAGAAACGAAGTAATTTGTAAATCTTCGCTATGTTTTAGTATAATCACCTAACATAAAGATTTAGCTAATTTATGTTTAAGACAGACTCTGTGCAGTTAATCCAGGGTGAGCTGGCTGTGTGTGTTTATTTTCATGCATGTTCTCAGTACATTTGACCATGTGCTCTTGGCCTCACTTTATTTTACAACGAGCAGAAACAGGAGTCTTTAAGTGGCATTACTGATTGAAATCCATTAAAATACCCAGGCTACCACCTCTGTCCTGGTGAATCCTTTCTAGCAGTGATAAATCCTTCTGAAGATTTACTCATTTCACAACTCCACCTAATTCCCATAAAAAGTAACTGCTCTGGGATGAATTATGTCTCTTTTCCTCTGTCCTCTTGGATTTGCAGCTTAGAGAAGCAAAATTAGCCTGGAGTGAATATTCCTTGGTTGGGTGGGAAAAAAACCCAGTAATGACAATAATGATGATGATGATTATAATAATAATAATATGCAAACCAGCTTGAAGTAATCTATCTAAATTATGTCAACAGTTCCCTTCCAAATTTCCCCCTCCACTTGCTATACCTCTCCCCCTCCGTGCACCAGGAGTTCTCTGTGCCTGGACCTTCAGATCAAACATCAGTATGTAATAAACATCTTGTTTCTAGGATTGTCCAACATGATGTCAGATGGTGAATTTCTACGCACCAGCTGTGGTTCCCCAAATTATGCAGCCCCTGAAGTAATCTCTGGCAGGTAAGACATTCCATTTCTAATCAGAGCCTATGTAAGCACATGGACTTTAAATTTGTTCTTGACATTGAAAAAAGCTTTGCAAATTTAGTAAAAGCAGCGTAGTCCTTCCAGCCTGTATTTTATGTTTGGTTGAATCTACAGGCAAAGATCTGAAAGTTTTTTTGGTTGTTTTATTTCTCAATAACTGTAATAGCAAACCATGTTTTGCTAAAGGTGTTTACTTTGGAGGGATTATTAATACCAGATGTTGACTGTTTATATTAATTAAAGAGGGTGAAAATTAGTCTTTGGATGCAGATACAGAGGTTCCAGATGGTAAGGCTTTTCCAGGCAACCCCCATCCTCTCCTGCCCACCTGTGATATAAAACACAGCGTTAATGAGGAAAACCATTCACTAACAGAAGAGCCAGAAGGATCTTTAATCACTTCCCAACACTGTTGAAACTCTTGCATTGCAAATGCTTGTCTTCTGGTTCCTTAAGCTAGGATTTTGGTCATGGCAGTAGGTTCAACCACTGGAGTTTTGTTTTGAACTGATGAATTGAATTGACAAACCTCCAGTGTGGTTGCATCCCTCAGCATGAAACATCTGTACAGCACACGGAGTGTTGAACACACTCCACAAGGTTGAATTGGACTTTTATGTGTTGATACAAAAGTGTTACCTCCTCTATTTTATTGTCAGGAAGAGAAATTAGATAGAATGTACATATTTCACTAATTCTCTCCATAATAGCATAGCAAGGATTGCAAATACAGATTTTCAAATTTTCAGTTTTCTCTGTGGTCGTTCAAACTGCCCATTTTTGCCCCCTATCTTTGAAGTGCCCTTTGCATGAGCACTCCTTTTCCTAATTCAGTGTTCTTTTTGCCTATAATTGTAGCTTTTAAGTACAACATTTTGTTCAGAGTGTGTTTGCTGTGGTTATTATTATTTTATCCCTGTTTACACCACTGCAAGTGTTGGCAGAGTATCCTAGGAATTAGAATAGCATCCAAAAACCTGTTTTGACTACAGCTTTATGTGGGAAATCAAGTAAATCCTCATTGTCAAGAGGGAGACAAAGCCAGAAACTCTATTGGGATTCCAAAAAAATATTAATATTATTTCCATGTCCTTTTCAATAAAGGCCAGACTTGTTTTTTTGTTTGTATAAGAAACAAGGCACATGGCAGATTAGCAAGAAGGATTTAATCCCTGTGTGCAGAGCCTGATCATTCCATGGGTACAGGCAATACAGCTTAATAACAACAAAAGTAAGAAAGAAAACCAAAACCAAGCCTACATGTTGGACATTTTCATTGGCTACAGCTGCATCCCTCCAGGATTGGTCCTACTTATAGTGGGATCAGTATCAGGGATGCCAGAGTTTCACACTCCTGGTCAGTGTGCCAAGATACCCTCTTCTCAGAGCTATAGCAGCATGTGAGAGCTGCATTTGGGAGGGAAAGGCATGATCCACTCTTCCTGCCTTGCTGGTGGGTGTGTGGGGCAGGGGGAGCTGAGTCTGGCTCCTGCTGCCCTTCCTTGTAGTGCACAAAAAGAGTAGAGCATGACAGCTCAGGTTTCAGAGTCATAAAAGTGCATCTCATTTGGGTCTAAAAGTCCAAAAGACTGTTCAGGCAATGCAGTTATCAGCAAAAGAATCAGGTTTCTGATCTGGGGAATCAGGCATGGAGGCAGGACTGAGAGGGCATCTAGCTAATGGTCTGCCTTTCCAAAATGACTTTGCTGCTGTCCCTGGCCAGGAAAGTCTCACCCTTGGCAACAAGACCTACTGTTTTGGGGGTGTTCAGAAAATGGTTGTGTGCATGACCAATGCTTTTACTACACTGTTGTGTCTTCAGCAATGCTTTTCAGGAGGAGCAAATGCAGGATGCTGAGGTTTCATGAAGAGACTTTTGTATTTCCATTTCAACTTCTGTATTTTGGTAGGGTTTCACAGCCCAAGGGTAAGTGCTGCCTCCCAAAATCTCTGAGAAAGCGTCAGTTGTAGCAAAAAGAGATAAGCAAATTGAACAAGCAGCAGCAAATCCTGTATATTTGGGGTGTCCGTACTTGGTGATGCCAGGGAGCACATTAGCAGCTTGTCGGAAGCGGCAGCACTTGCATACCAGCACACAAACTTCCACCAAAAATAAACACTCAGAGATAGAGTATCTGCTGCTCTTTGATCTGCCTTGTTGAATGAACAGAAATTTCTGTCTGATCCCTTGGAACAAACAGCCTGGCAGAGCTCTTGGAAATGTAGGGTTTGGCTTTTTGGAGAGTTTGGTGGAGGCAGGGGTGTACATGGCTGTCCAGAGAAGTGTGGCCAGCCAATGCCAGCTCTGCCATGTCATTTCCCTGAGTAATTTTTGCTTAGACAGGTTTGATCCGGGGGAACCATATGAGCAGCCCTAGGGTGTGCTGCAGCTCTGTCCCTGGTGGAGCTGGCAAGGGGTGCCCAGCTCACCCAGTGGGATCTGCACCCTAACTAAGGAGAGGATGGGAGCTAACACATTTCTCCTGCCCTTGCCCCCGTGCAGGCTGTATGCTGGCCCAGAGGTGGACATCTGGAGCTGCGGTGTTATCCTCTACGCCCTTCTCTGTGGCACTCTGCCTTTCGACGACGAACACGTCCCCACCCTCTTCAAGAAGATTCGGGGAGGTGTGTTTTACATCCCTGAATACCTCAACCGCTCCGTTGCCACTCTCCTCATGCACATGCTGCAGGTTGACCCCCTCAAGCGAGCAACTATCAAGGACATCAGGTCAGCTCGGGTGGGCTGGGGTGGGCTGGCTGCCTTTGGGGGGCTCTGGTGGCAGGGGGTCACCTGCTGGCAGGTGGGCAGGGTGGTTTACAGGAGTAGTCAGCTAATCCAGATGGCTTTTGTTCCAAGTGATTCAAGGAGCAGTCCTGCACCCTTCTGTGATGCTGGAGAGTTGGGTGCTACTGGCTGGCAGTGGGTGATGAATTTATATATATTTTATATACATATATATATATTTCTATATAAAATAGCGTCAAAAATCTCCTAATAGCACTTAGCAAAACCAGTTATAGCGTGGAGTAAGCCTAAGAACTTAATATCCACCAGCTGTTTTTCATTATTTTATGTCAAGACCACCTCCTTCTTAGGTAGTTCAGAGTAAGAAGGTAATCACTGTACTTACTGTCTATCCAATAAAAAAGGAGGAGAAACACAAGAATTGCTAACTTAATCCATAAATATTGGGTATAATTTAAAATGTAAGCAAATGGTTCATCTTTAAATACAGTGTAGTATTTTTGTCTAGTCAATGAGCACAGTGTCCATGAACCTTTTATGTGCATGCATCACTGTGGAAATTCCAAGAAAAGGGAACAGTTGGGCCCTTAAGCAGATATTTTTGTCTGCAGAGATCATTAAAAGTTCATGGCTGCTAGTAGCACTTCAAAATTCTCACAGTCTGAGCCATTTTGGAAGCATTTTGTAAAACTGAAGCCTGATATACATTTTATGAAATTTATAGTAATCATTACATCTAGCTGGTGTGCTAAGCTTACACATAAATGTTTCTAGGACTTTCAGGCGTTCTTAGGTTTTTAATGCATTTTCAATGCATGGCCTTAATTTTACCCTTCAAGTAAAACCATGTGAACTGCTCTTTTTTTATTCCTTAATTCCTTAAAACTAGAGGATTTGATTGCATGTTAAAGCAGCAGCACGTATGGTGAGATTACTGTTGATACATAGAACATACAGACAAGGCACTGCATGGCTTTTAGACAATTATATTAGACTTTGTTGTAAATCAGTGGGAAATGGGTACCTGGATATCTTTCATGCTCTGTATCTCTGTCAGATCCATGGGAATCCGAAAGTGTGAGAATCACTAAGTGCTGAGGTTGTACTTCAAAGCCCAGTGAGCAGAGTTTCATTGCTGTTCCAGTACTGGGGGGACTGTGCAGGGCTGGGTTGAGCTCCCCTGTTGGCAGCTGAGGATGAGTCTTGACTAGAGCCAGTGAGGGACTGGTGGCAGTGGTTGCCTCACACAGAGCTCATGGTGGCTTCTCTCTGCATTCCCTAGGGAACATGAGTGGTTTAAGGAGGAGCTGCCCAGTTACCTGTTCCCAGAGGACCCTTCTTACGATGCCACTGTCATTGATGATGACGCGGTTCGGGAAGTGTGCGAGAAGTTTGAGTGCATGGAGTCGGAGGTGATGAACAGCCTGTACAGCGGTGACCCTCAGGACCAGCTGGCAGTGGCTTATCACCTTGTCATCGACAACAGGAGGATCATGAACCAGGCCAGCGAGTTCTACCTCGCCTCCAGCCCCCCCACCGGCTCCTTCATGGACGACAGTGCCATGCACATCCCTCCCGGGGTGAAGCCGCACCCCGAGCGGATGCCACCGTTGATAGCGGACAGCCCCAAGGCACGGTGTCCTCTGGATGCCCTCAACACCACAAAGCCAAAACCCCTGACTGTCAAAAAGGCCAAGTGGCACCTGGGAATCCGCAGCCAGAGCAAACCCTATGACATTATGGCCGAGGTGTACCGGGCTATGAAACAGCTGGACTTTGAGTGGAAGGTAGGGAGTGCTGGTGCTCTGTGGTGCTTTTCATCATTTTCTTATGATCTGAATTGCTCAGGGAGGTTTATAAGTGTGGTTACAGCCTCACTTGTTTCCAAATAAATGCCCACACCTTGCAATCATCCTGCTATTTCTCGTTAATAGAGACACAGTGAATTAAGGTGCCAACTGTGCTTCAGTGCTCGTGGTGTTTATTTAGGGCGTGAAATAAGAGTTTTCCTTCTGAGTGCTCTAAGCCTTTGGCTGGAAAGATGATTCTGCCTCGTTTAGCTGTGGGGATAAGAGGAGCTGTTCACATTTCTAATTTTAGTGGCTAATTCCTTGCGAGGTCATCTTGAGTTCTTCTGAGGAAAGGAACTCTCATTATTTCTGCCTGGTCCTGTCAGTCTGTGTGCTGAAATGGCACAGTATTCATCTTCCTTAAAGATGCACAGATAAAGGGCAGGATTTGTATCCTTGAGTGTGTCTTTTCCTCGATGGAGATGAAGTGGTCCTTGTGGACAAATGTGCTTTCAGACCCTTACTGCTTCCTCAGTTTGGGGCTCAGCTTCTTGATTTAAACCCAGACGTTTTAGTTGACAGTACCCACTCCAGATATTTCTCCAGAGCTACACGTTTAGTCACAATCTTTTTCAAAGTTGGAATAATTAACCCCTGAGTTAGCCCTGAATATCTGCTGATGAGCCTGATTCCCTAAATCTTGGTGCAGCCCCTGAGGTGAGCTCTCCTGACTTGTGGGCCTTTCGCAGCAGCCTCGTGCGAGCATCAGGAGGAAGGTAAGGAGAATTTCAGCCCAGATCTTCATCACCAGAGGAATTACCCTCCTCGCTCCAGGTCCCAAGCCTTGTACACGGTGAATGTCACTGTGCTGCTTCTTTATAGCCTCCTGTCTCCTCCTTATTTTTTGGCAATATGACATCTTTAAAGCCAAGTAGCTCCCAGAAACCTAATTTCAGTGCACCAGCCAGGAGATGGACTGCTGCCAGGTCCACCAGCCAGACATTTGTTAGCTGCATGGTTACAGAGAGTGAGCAGAACTCCTGTATTTCTGGTACAGCTGCACAAACCAAGTCAGCCCAACGTCTTTGTGTAGGCAGTGGAGATTATTTCATAGGAGGAGGTTTCACAATAGTCTTTCCCCCCCCCTAAGAATAACTTCAGATGTGACTCTTCATCAGAATAGCTTTCCCATCCACGCAGTTGGTTCATAAATATAGTGCAGAGAAAAGATCTCATTGTAAATGAGATGAAGCAGATTGGGAGGTGGGAAGCAGCAAGGAAAAATACACAGCTTGAGGCTGATCCACAAACACTGGATTTAGCTGTGCTGATGGGAGAGGTCACTCTGCTCAGCTTGCTCTGGTTTCATGGACACTGTCCTTGCACGTGGGTCCATGAGGGGACTTTTTGGCTCATATGGCTATGGCTGGTGGTAAGGGAGGAGCAAACTTCAGTTTGGTGCCTGGCAGATGGGTCACAGCAGCTTTGTCTGCCAGCATCTGGTGAATCAGAGCCCTAAAAGCATTTTTAAAGATAGGAGGAAATAGGAAATGAAGCCATTTGCCTAATTTTGTCAGCACTGTTCTTCCTAGAAACTGTGTTTTTCCCAGAACATGTACTGCCTGTATTTAGAGAGAATAAGGAAAGAAATGTTCTTCTTGCTGCCTTGAATCTTACTCCTGAAAGCAGGTTTGCCATTGCAGGTGGTGAACGCCTACCACCTGAGGGTGCGCCGCAAGAACCCGGTGACGGGCAACTACGTGAAGATGAGCCTGCAGCTCTACCAGGTGGACAACCGCAGCTATCTCCTGGACTTCAAAAGCATCGATGGTAGGTAGGAAACAGTGCAGTGGGAGATGTGAAACACGTAGAATGGCAAGATTGGGAGTTTAAAAACCACTCTTTGCATTTTGAAGTGCTTATGCAGCTGTTTCAAGTCAGCGAAAGCCCTTTTGATCCATTTGTCTCCACTACTGTTGGTAGTCCCTTACCAAACCTGCAATGCAGATGCCAAATGAACTTCACTTTTTCTTTTTTCTTTTTTTTTTTTCTTTTTTATTTTCCAGATGAGGTGATGGAGCAGAGGTCAGGTTCTTCCACGCCGCAGCACTCCTGCTCTGCCGCTGGCTTGCACCGTCCAAGGCTGAGCATCGATGCTGCTGCATCCGCCGAGTGCCAGTCCCTGATGGGCTCCCTGAGTGGCTCCTTCGTCGGCAGCATCCCCTCGGTGACCCCACGCCTGGGCAGCCACACCATGGACTTCTTCGAGATGTGTGCCAGCCTGATCATGGCCCTGGCTCGCTGATGGGTGCTGGCGAGGCACCAGTCCCTCCGCACACGGTATTGCACTGTGAGGATCTGGTCTGACTTGTCTGTCCCTTGTTTCTTTTGCTTCATTGTTCCTCCTCTGCCCCCTCCACTCCACTGTCTGTGGCATGGAGCCAGGCCCAGACCCAAAACATGCTCCCCTCTAACAAGGCACTGAGGAAATTAAGAAAACTTCATTTCACTCCTTGTGCTTGGTGAAATGTATCCAGTACCCCTTTTTTATCTGTAGTCAACCCAATGGGAAACGTTGGCGTGGCTGTAAAGTAGCAAATGTATCAATGAGTTTTTGGAAAATGCCTCTCCTCTGGTTCATCCTGAGTTAATGGAGCCATGCCCAGGCTTCCTGCAATGTAGACAGTATGCTGGGAGGTCAGAGTTTCCATGTTGCTGTGTAGAGCAGGGGCATGATGGGCTGGGCCAGGTCAGAGGGATGGACCGGGAGCTACCTGAAATGGAGCTGAGGGGTAATGAAGTAGCTCTGCAGGTTCACACCAGGATGTAGCCTCTGGTTACACTTTTCTCCCAAAAGTAGCAGCTACTTAGACGTTTCTGCACTAGTGCAATATGACTTCCTTCCCCTCTTCTCCCCCCTCCCCTCTAAAGATGGGGAGGGAAAGTGGGATGTGCAAAGGTCCTGTTGCAAATGTGCCATGGAGAAGTCTCCATGTATCAAGGCTTTGCAGAGGAGTGTCCCTAAGGTGCTTTATTTCCTCTAAGAGCTCTGGACAGCACTGACCTGCTCACCACGTTCGGAGCTGAAGGCAGCTTGCCTTTTTTCCAGCTCTTAATCTCCATACCCATCCAAACCCCCCACCCTCCCCACTTCACCACCCATCTCCAGGGGCTGAATTCTAAGCAGGGTTCAGGTGAGCCACCAATGGAGGGCAGGATGCCAATCACTCACCCAAAAACCCAGTGCTTTGCCCACAGTTTGCCTAAGGGTGGGATCATCACTGCTGGGCAAGAGCCGGCAGCATCGCACAGCTCCAAAGCATTTACGTCTCACCTTTCTGTAGGAAACCTCTGCCTGCTGTCACCACCCTAAAATCACTGCCAAATCTGCCTTCCCTCCCTCCCCTGCTCACCTCTTTGTGCTGCCAGAGACTTGCTTTTCATGCCGAAGGGCTCTCCCGTCCTGCTGCTGCCCACTGGACTGTGACCTTCACCACTCCGCTGATAAGGCAGGGATATCCATATCCAGAGTTTTACTGTTTCTTTACTACTGGCTATCTGAAGGATAGGATTTTTTTTTTTTTTAAGACAAACTACTGGGATTTTTAAGGTTAAATTCTTGTTATTCAAGGGTAAACCCTAAAGCATGTGAGACTTCTTTGTTTAAAAGAATTATTTTTTATTACTCAGGCTTAATCTAATGGGCAGCGTTGGCATCTGCTTGGCTTTGCCGTGGTATTTAATTCCATTTGCTTGATTGCAAACTAATAGTCTAATCAGTCAAGGAACAAATGCTTTATGAAAACTTTGCCAAAAAAATCCTGGGTGGAGGGTTTGGTTTTGATGTTTGTTTGGTTTTTTTTGTGTGTGTTCTGTTTTAAGAAACAAAGCAAAGAACTTTTGCTGGTCCCAGGTATACAGTCATTCAACTTGAAAAAAAATTAATCCATCTTTTTGATAGCTTCTTATGACCCTTTGAGGGTTTTTGCTAGGTTTTTTTGTACAGTTGCACTTTAATTTATACTTTCTGCAAGTTTCTATGAGAAGCAAGGAAGAGAACAACACATTAAACCTTTTTTACTAATCATTTAAGGTAATCAAGACAAATATGGGATATTTTTGCCATCTACTGGCAGTTAAATGGACATTTTCAGCTTGAAGTCCCTTTTTTTTAAAGACACAAAATTGCCTTACTTTTGTTACAGATTGTGCTTGGGTTCTCGCTAACGTGACTTAAATTTTTCCAGAAGTCGCACAAAATAGAAAACTTCAAAAAAAAAAAAAATCAGTTTTGCTGTTGAGCTCTTGAACATTAAATCCAACCCAGCAGTGGGTGGATTATAAACCCACAGCAGAACAGTTTTGTTTTTAAAAGAAATAGTGGAAATATTTGTAGTTCTCCTAGGTTTTGTAATGAGCCTTTTAGTATATTATGATTATTAAATAAATACTCTAGGGTGGAGGATGGCTTTGGTGCTGTGTCTGGTGGCTGTCAGATGATGTTTCTCCAGTGCTGTGCTGTGAGTAGGTCATATCTGGCAAGGATGGACAATCCAGGCTCTGCATGCAAAAAAAAATATCCACCCCAGAGCCAAAGCTGAGCAGCACCCAGCCCTGTAGCAGCTTTTGGATCACAGAATATTCTGAGTTGGAAAGGACCCACAAGCATCAATGCTGAGACAAGAGCAAACAGCCCTAAATGATTTTGGGTGCTGGAGATAAGCCCCTTTGGAAAGGAGCACAAGAGGGCAGCTGAGCGGCCATAGGGACAGACATTCACTTCCATCTGGGAAACAGTTAAGAGTAAAATGTATTTGGAATGTAAAAGGCTTTTTAAATCTTTACTCCCAACTGAGCATCTTGCCAAATTGCTTGTCCTAGAAACACCTGTAGCTCCCTTGATAAGGGGCTGGTGCGTTAAAATCTGGGGTTCAGAAGCAGGTAGATGTACAGATGTCTTTTTTCTAAACTGACTCTTGTCCTCTGGGATTTTCTACCCAGCAGAACTAATAGTATTAAACAGCAGCAAATACCCTTGGGAGGAAATACGTGCTTCCTGGAGGCAGGTGGGATTTCTAGGTGGTAGAATAAGCCCTCGTGGCACTTGGCATCTTCTCAGAGCCATACAAACATTAACTCCTAGGTGGGTCTGCAAAACCAGTCCTGCCTGGAAGGCAGTAGGAGTTAACTCAGTTTTACATATGGAGAGACACAAAGAGATGAAGCAGCTTTCCTGCTCAGTGTCAGCAGAGGCAGAGGAGTGAGTAGGACTGATGGAAGTAGCTCCTCAAAGAACACATCGGATTGAACTGTCCCTTACAGCCTTACCTAAATCCATGCTGCACTTTGAGATACTCCTGAGAACTTTTTTTTTTTAATTATTTATTTTACCTTCAAATAGGCTGTTTTCTGTTCCCCAGCTGCAAAGAAGCTGCTGACCTCCAGTTACATTTTCCAGAGGAAAAGTTTAACTTTTACACTGTTACACTGTGGTCAGCTCTTTTGAGTTATGCTGGTACATGCACAAGCATCGGGAAAAGCAGGGTAGACGTTATTTGAACTACAAAAACTTGAATTAATCCAAGTGCAATTCTTCAGAAGCCACTGGACAGCTGTGCTTTGCAAGCCACAAAGTCACCCAAACTTCGCTTCAGCCTGAGAGGGAGAGAGACAAAATGCAAAGGATCTGGATTTCAGATAGGCTCTAGCAGTAACCTCCAGCTCCTGGATGAATTAGTTCAGAAATAGCTTGTACTGTTCTTGTTGGAAAAGATAGATATATGTACACACACACACATATATATGTATAAAATGTAAGTAGCATCCCTGACATTGGCCTCTCAGCTTTATTACCTAGCAGAGTAGGTGTGTGCCCTGGACAACTGCCATCACACACACTAATCCCAGCATGCAAGAGGACCTGGAGAAAAGGGATGCTATTTTTACACCCTCTTTTAGGTAAAGCCCATGAGTAGCTTAGCTGACCCCATTGGACCCAACATGGCCTCGTCTGGGGATGGAAGGAGAGGCGGAATCAGGAGCCATGAGTATCCTGCCCTTCCACCCTCCCCAGCCAAAGCCCTGGTGCTAAAGGGATTTGGGGTAGGTTTATTTTTGGGAGTTGGAGCTGAGCAGGTGAAGGCAGCGGGATATTTTTTTTCTCTTAATGGGTCAGAAATGCATCTTCAGCTGTGTGTCCAGTTTAAGCATTTCACAAGGTGTGTACAAGCACAGGGTTATATAATATATGGCAGTATTGTAAAAAAATGCATCAGCTGGTTAGTATCTGTTGTATATACATTTTTGCATGTGGTTATAATGGCATGGATATTGGAATAGAGGAATTTTGAACAAAATAACCATTCTGTCTACTCCTTTTCGTTTTACTGCTCTTTGCCATCAGTGTGCACCCCCTGTAGAAGGAAGAGAGATCTGTATGCAGGACATGAAATCGTGCCTTCGCCATACATTAGAACTGCTGGAAGTCGCAGCTTTATTTCACGAGGTGCACAATTTCCCCAGCTCATGCAGAATTCCCCCCGGTGAGACATGCAGGCCGTGTTTCTAAATACTTGAAGTACCAGCCATTTGTTGTGCAATTATTTGGCTTCACCCTTTTATTAGCTGAGAGGAGAGAGGGAAGAAGAATCACACATCTGGATGAGCCAAACAAATCCCTGCTCCAGCTCCTGCAGTGTTTTCCTAGAAAGTTTTAGGCTCTGGTTTTGTTCCAGGTATATGATGTACGTACTAGAGTCGCCTTTCTTAAGGTGTTACATTGGTATGGGCTTTCCATTTAGTGTTTTCCTTTGGCTTCCTTAGCCCTTCCCTTATATATCCCTTTTCATCATTTACTTATAAAACAAGCAACAGCTTCTTGTAATTCTGAATTTCCAGTCTGCCTCCCGGCCATGGAGTTAACGATTCATCCAGAAGGTACCTCACTCCCATGCCCGAGAGATGAACTGGTTTTCAGAATTCCCACATTACACCTGTTGACGGAACAGTGACTTTTGCAGAGAGCAAATCTGGTATTCGATGCACAGATCTTTGCTTATTTTGATCATCAAAATTAGGAGAACTGGACTGTATATCAGACCTCTACCTGCAAGCACGAGTACACTTTTGGTGTTACAAAAATCTATTTTCAACAAAAGCCTTGAAGTTCCTGCTGAAGCTGCCTTAATTTAAAAATCACAGTTTATTTGTAAGATTCATCTCTGGTGTTGTTTTGGTTTTTTTTTTACAGTTTGGAAATAGTTCACTTATCCTCATCTCACAAAGCTGTGAAGTAGATACTGTAGACATGGTAATATTTATTCTCGTTGCTGAAAGCATGTTCTGTATCATGTTATATTCACATGTTTTGTACCTCAATGCATTTGTTATGGTTTTTTTTTCTTTTAGAGCACAAAGCAAAACTGAATCCCAGGATAATTGTAGTGTGCATGACCCAGCTTTTGGGCAAACAAATTTCAGCTCTATGACAGAGATGAATGGTATTAGTCCACTGTAGTTTTTTTATTCATACTCTAAGGAGTATTTATGATTTATAATATTATGTATTTATATGAATATTTCCGTTAAAAATAATGAACTTTTAAAAGCTCTGAGTATAAGCATCCCTTCAAACATATAATTAACATGAAACTCAGAAAAAAACCACCTGAGCTCTATAATTACTCCATTATTCTTGGTATTTTCTATTTTGTCAACTCAGAGACTGGAGAAGGTTTTGTTTTCAGATTCATGCTTTAGTACTTCTGGGGGTAGCTGTTGTGGAAGGGCCCAAAGCCTAGGTTCAGTTTTGTCCTTTGTGCATTAGATAATCACAATGAAGCCTTTTTCCTTCCATTTATGGTGTGGAAAGTGTTTCTCAGTGTACTGCACTGCATGTGATAGCTGTCTCCATGGTTGACATTTGCACTTTAATAAACTCAGAGATGAAAAGAGATAAAAGCAGCAAATCCTTAAAATTTACTTATTTCACAGTGCCTTTTTGTGGACTGGAGTTGGCTGTTAAGAGTTTCTCTCTGGAGATCCTCGCACATCTCAGCTGTGGGATCATGGATGCCCTGAAGGCTTGGGGGGTGGTGCAAAGGGGCAGGAAGGGGAATCAGAATATACACATGAACAACTTAAACAGCTTCCCCAACCCAAAATACATGCCAGGAGCCAGGCCTGGAGGTTTTCTGTATTAACATTCATCCAGCAGAACTGATGCACTGGTCTTTGCTGACTCAGATCTCGACTCCTTAACACCAAAGCACGGAGAGTATAATTTTAAAGATAATGTGCAAAAATAACCTTTCACTACAGGAAAAATGTGGGGTTTTTTGGGGGGTGGTGTAAATATTTCCTGTATGCGTGTGGTGCAGCTGGATGTAAATCCAGTGAAAGCACACAGCTGCAGTGAATGCCCCAGTTTTTTCCTTATCCATGCTCTCCTTTTTACACAATTTCTGTGACACAGAATTGCCCTCTAAAAAATTTCAATTCTCCTTCAGACTTGACTCATCAAATTAACAACTGTTATCATGATGATTTCCTTTTCGAGGAGAAACACAGAGGAACGGGGTTTAAAACTCACATGAGAATTATTTTAAGGTTTGATGTGGTTAGGATGTACCAGCAAGGCTTGTAAAGGAAAAAAAAAAAGAAAAGGACACATTTAATTTCCTGACCAATATCTTAAACCACAGGTTGGCTAAATTTAGGTTAACTGAGGATATCTAAGTTGCTCTATCTGAAGAATTTTTGTATTGTCTGGAGACATCCCATAGAAAGCTCTTTTCTTCTGTACATGCATTGGAATTTATCCATGGGGAAATATATGTCTAAGTGTATTGCAAGGCACCCTTCTGGTGCAGAAGTTTGTGTTTCACGTGGATTTGGGGCACAACCCCACAAGGACTGTGCGTCACTGCACCGGGATCAGGGCCCAATCACGTCTATCACAGGATAGATGGGGAGACTTTTTTTAAAAGCCTTAATTTAAAATAAGAAAAACTTGTTAAATAACTTCCTTATGAAGCCAAAAAGAGCTCACACGTGTGGTTAATACAAGATTTGCTCGCAGTGCTCACAGAGCCAGTGATTAATGGACTTCATGAGCTGTGAGTTAGCACTGGCTGGGGAGGAGGCTGAGGAAGGGGATGTTTTCTTCATGGTATTAATCCTCAACATTGCCCTGGAAAAAAAGCCCTCAAGCTAAACCATCTCCACAACTTCCATCAGGCCGATTCCCCTCAAAGGCTGTAGGTGAAGGACACAGAGCACGTCCCAGCCTGTGCCAAAGCCAAACACGCACTCAGCTCCCCAAACCCTCCATCACCACTAGAGAAGTCTAAATATTTGGGCTGGCAAGCCTGCAAAGCTGCGCATGCTTACAGGGGATTGTTTTATTTATTTTTTTTATTTCGAGGATGGATGCAGGCCAATGCACTTAATAATAACCACATGGTAAAATAAATAAGAATGCCTGTATAGACTTAAAAGTAAATGTTAAATATTTGCTCTGTTTTCTTACTGATTCTCCTATGCCAGCTTTGAAATGGCCCTGTGGCAAACAGTGCTTTTATTTTGCTGTGTTATCTTAAGCCTGGAACTTCCAATAATTTCTAATTAAAACTTCCACATTTTTAGGATATTTATGAGCAAGCTGATATGTACTCTTAAAATGAGCCAAGGAGGGGCAAAAGCTGTACACTACAACCAGATTTAAAAGTTTTTCTTCTTCAAAAGACATGTAAAAATGCTATCCCCATTTTTTTTACTTTTCACAGAAAATTTCACAGAATATTCTGGAAAATGTGTCCACTAGATACACTGAGGAGAAGCCATTAGAAATTTATATTTCTCTTCCTACATTTAAAAACCTTTTTCTTAAAACAAGTAAACATCCTCCAGGCCCACAGTGCAGAACAGCCCAAACACAGGGGCAACTGTTGGGTAACTGCCCGTGAGTCAGTGGGAGCCAGGAGTCAGCCTTTACATATCTGGGATGCCTAAGTTAGCTTACAAAAATAAAGTAAATTTTGACTGAATGCTTTATTTACTCTTTTTTCATGTTTTTTGGAAAGAAATGAGTCAATTTTTCCACTATTTGATATATTTAACACAGCAGGAGTGGTGATACATCCTTCTCCCAGTAGTTTTAAGACCAAAACCAGTTCAAAATTATACGGTTTGCTTTTTAAAATCTTTTGGGGAGTTTTGCAATTCTACCACCTAAAACAGACAGTAATAAATTGGAGCAACTAATGTGCGCAATTTTTCTTCGTGCAAACACTGAAGTGAAATGGCTATTTCAGAACTGATTAACAAGGTACTTCAAAAAGTGAGAAATACTGAAAATAACTATTAATCAATGCAGATATGCTGTAAATGTCAGGGTTAAAAAAAAAAAAAAAAAGAAACATCTCTTGCACCTTTAACAGTACAAAAAAAATAATTCAGCTTTATTTACATGGGCATCATCACTCCACAGTTGACCAACGTGGGCTCTCATGGATGCAGGAAGCACAAAGGAGACTTTCAGGGATGGTCCAGGGGAGAGCAGCTCTCAGGGAAGTTAGCACTGTCTGCCTCAAAAAAAAGAAAAAAAAAAGAACATTTTCCAGCAAGGGGCACCTGGTTCATTTGTATCAATTATGCATGAGCATGCAAGGAAACACTGCAGCAGGGAATTTGAGGGTGTGTTTTGGCAAGGCAATGCACACTGAGTGGCCCATGTTTGCAGCAGATGTGAATTAATATGGCATATCTGAAGGCAAGTCAGGAATCTCCAATTTATAGAAATCATGACTGGACGGGCCTTTTTTTAGCTGCAGTTGGACTGGAAATTTGTGTAACAGCAGACTAAAACTGGAAATACTTATTTGATATTTAATATTTAGTACTGGCTGTTTACATTTAATTCCCCTGCCTTCAGAAGTTTTAAGTACATTTCTCCAGATCTTAGATATCTCTACGCAGGAAAGAGAAGAAAATATGCATCACAATAAATAAAATCTGAGTTTACCCAAAGTTCAAGTGCTCCACTAGAACGTAGCCATCTGAGAGAAGGAGAAAAAAATGAAGTAAATTAGTAAACTCCTGAGCCAATGAAGTCTCAGTGGCTAACACAAAGAACATACTGTGGCTTGGGAGGCTGATTTGCCCCTCCAGACTGGTTTGCAGTGTCCCCCCTTCCTGTGCCAGAGACTTTCTGCAGACTTACATCTGCCCTCTGAATTTCGGCAGATCACTGCGTGGCCCTCCGTGACATCAATAACATCCAGCTGTTCTCCAGCTGTGACAGGGAGATCCACTCTCCTCTCACTGGGGACAGAGCACTCAGCAGTGGCTGTGTTGATGACATTGATCTCCTTATCATACTGCAGGAAAGAAATAAAATGAGTTATTCCACACCTATGTGCAATGTCTGTAAAGGCAGTGGGGAGGGATGAAGAGATTTCAGGATGGGTCCTGAGGCTTTGGTTAGGGGTGAAGAGGGAGATAAAACCCCAGTAACATCCCTGATGAAGATCCCAGATTAGGGGAGAAGGAACAGGTCAGTGAGGCATCTCTGGCAGAATAGCTGAGGACCAGCAACATTCCCTTATGCATTTATTAAACAAGCCACATAGCTGTTTCCCTCCTCTGACCCAACCAGTTCTCTAGAAAGAAACGTACCATAAATGTTTCTCTAAAGAACTTCTCTTCCTTTTCCCTCTTCCTGCTTTTTTCTTCACTGCTCTTCTTGAATTTGAAGATATTTCTGCATCAAGAGACAGACACGCACACACCTGTGAGCTCCATTTAAATAATCCCTGGCATATTTCAAATTGCAGCTCAAAGCCAACTCCAGCCTTGTCTGCAATGAACCCGTGGAATAGGAGAGCACACCATTCACATCCCTATTTTTCATAAAAGAATGAATATACAACTCAAATATGTTAGTGAGCATAACCTGGGCCATTTTGGATCTCCATTTGCAATAATTTTTTTCCTGTAAGCAGCGTGGGAACAAACAAACTCTCTATCGAGTGTTTCAAATCAGTCGTGTTTTTATAGAACTCAACAATTCACTTTTCCCCCAGCAGTTTGTCTCCTTCTGGTTTTATTTATATTCAAACATAAAGGGAAAGGGTCCCCAGATAACTCTCATCCTGAGTCATTTATGGAAGTGGGGCTTGACACAGCTCTCCAGATTTCTGTTGGGTTTTTTAGCACATGGAGGAGAAAGTCACCCAAGCAGACATTTATATGGCACTGTGAAGTGGAAAACAATTTCTTATGCCCCGCTTAAAGGGAGCAATGGCCATTCCTTCTGGGGCATTCCCTGAGTATGGAGATGTGCTCTTTCTGGTACATGAAATTCTAGCTATAGCATTAATTTTAAAACTTAAGACAGGAAAAAACACCAAACAAAAAACCCCTACCCATTTGTAATAAATTATTCACCTTTGGCTCACTTTGATGCACTTAAAATTAAGACAAGGGGAAACAAGAGCTGAAATTAGGATCTTCTAGGCTATGAAGAGATTTCTCCTTGGCAGACTTAGCCTGAAGGACCTGTGATATCTAAGGAACGGATGAAATTGCATTGACTTCCTGATGGTCTGTAAAGTTGTACATATGACTTTGCACAACACAACCAGCAGTGTCTGAGTAACCTCATCCAGGAACTCTGTGGTAAGAACCTGGAAAATGGATCTTTGATTTGCATTTCTTTGAAGTCCCACGTATTGGGTCATAAAAAAGCTCATTGCGATTCACATTTTTCTAATCTCAAAGGCAAAGGAAATCTCCTACTTCCATGTGAATTTTTGCAGCACCAGTAACAAAACAAACAAACAAAAAGTCTTTGCTTTTATGCACATGCAATCAGCCCAGTCAGAAACAGAAGACCCAAGAAATCAATACTTTAAAATAAGGGCAAGGCGAAACTACAGGCAATTACTTGTGTAAT